ACATAAAATAATATTTGTAATTGGTGCTAAAATTTAACGGTCATAATATTGAAAATATACCAGACTTTTTATGTTTTTCTTAACAAATAGTATAAGCAAAGTTTAGAAACCTTCTTTAAAGCGGAAAATATTTTAATTAAAAATATTTAATTTTACAAGTATTGTAAAAAGTTCAAAATATTTTTTTTTACAAAAAAATTATTCTTTGCAATAAAGAAACAATAATATTTATCAAAATATAGAAATGTGTATTGTAAATAGTATTTGAGTCTAAAAATTATTTTTAAAACATTTAAGAAAGGAAAGAAAATAAAAACATAAATATTAAAAATATGCGCTACAATTTAGCATGCTAAAAATCCTTTATGTAGAAGAAATTGGATTTTTTTGTAATAAAAATCTTTAAAGTTTTTGTGATCTACTTTAGCAGATTTAAAGACAAAGTAAATTTAATTGTCATTGACGACATCAATTTGATTCACCGCGTATAATGCGGAACCCGAAAATTATATTTTCAAAGGTAAAAATTATAAAAACCATTTTCTAGCTTTTGTATTTTTTGTTGTACGTAAAGGTATTTTCTATTTATAGCTAAATAGCGCTATATGAACATTTTGTGTATAAATTTTACCCTTGCAAGTGAAGTCTCTGTTGCTATAAAACAAGTCTTGAAGACATAAATACTACTAAAAATAACCTCTATTGATCTTAACTATTTAACATATGATACTCTTTTGGGTACTTTAATAAAATAGTAATTTTATGTCTAGAACATACAAAAGAAATACAGAAATTTTATTAAACATTGAGGCGTGTTTTTTATCGTGACTATAAAAATTATTAAATAAATTAAAAAATAATTTTTTGCGGTATTAAATCTTTTTTTTGAATTTACAAATATAGCTTGCGTTTTTTCGTTTAAACGGCCTGTAAAATGTATTTTTACAATATATTATTGTAAAAAAAATAGTGTAAAAGTGTCTACAACTTCAACCTATAAAACTTTAACGTCTTTATGATACACAAAAAAAGCTTTTTAATGAAACATTTTGAAGAAAAAATTAGAAAAAAAAATTTTAACAATAACAATCATGCTTTACAAAATTCTGAATTTTTAATATTTTTAAAGTGAAACGCCTTAAATTAATATGTCAACTTTAACTTTTTTTTTACTTTAACTGATTAATTTTTATTGAATTTTAATTTCCTGGCTTTTTGCGTCATTATACTCATTTATTTTCCAAATAAATAAACCATTTCCTTGTAGAATAACATCATAATAAACTTTTTTCAAACTAAACATCCGTAAATGCCCACCCTTTTTATTTTTCAGACATAAGTTACAGGGAACAAGTGATGTATATCCTAGTATAATATTACATATTTCTCGATGACATTTGATATCAAGCAAAAGCAAGATTTAGTTCTATATGTTATTCCTGATTTTTTATATTACCTGTCCGATAATTAGTACTAAAAAGTTTTATCTTGTTATTAGATATAAGAACTAACCTCATAGATTTTTCAATGAGGCAATTACAACACTTTTGACATTTAAATGTATAAATACATTTTGTAGTTGATTTCATGCAGTAAAAAAAATATTAAATTTATACTTTTTTATACACAACCTTAATTAGCCTTTAATAAAAAATTATAAATTTAAAACAAACGGGAAAAAATGTTTAAAATGTGTTTATTTGTTAAAATATGTTAAAATGTTATTCACTAACAATTTGTTCCATGAATGTATGTCAAGAGTTTCTAAAACTTTGTTTAATTTGATTAGTTTTGACTAGCTTTTGTGTCACATATACCAATTTTTATTAAAAACAAAAAATAAACAGCAAAATTGTTAATAGATGAGAAATTAAAAATGTTTTGTTCTGTCTTTTGTAGAAATATAAGCGTTTATTTCAAGCAAAGACTGAAATTTTATTTGCTACTTTTACTAAATTATATTTAAGTAGGTTTGTTGGTATACATAAAATATTATTAAAATTTACATAAATACTTTTTATATTTTAAAAGTCAATAAAAATTTTACAATCTTAATATAAATTTATTTTTAAAACTAATTTAATAGTTATACTACATGTAAAGAAAAATGTGCTGTATTATTGTCTGATAGAGCAATAAATGTATGTATTTTACAAACTAACATTTTTTAATATATACAGTTTATTATAAAACAATTTGTTTAATTGTTTTATTAAAATAAAAAAAATTAGTACTTAATATATCATAGATAAAATATAATTTACTTTTTACTTTTCTTCTTACCTTTTTTCTTCAATATAACATCCTTATTTGCATTTTTATTGATATCATCTAAAAGTTTTTCAACGAAGTCTTTTTTTTCATATTCTCTAGATTTCTCAATATATTCCCTTAGTTTATTTTTTTCTAATTCTAATCTTTTAGATGTCTCATCTTGTATGTCAGTAAAACATGAGAAAAAATCTTCAATAAAACTTTTATCATCTAATAGCCTAATATTACATTGCAAAAAAATAGTAGTATCTCCGATTTGTGATAAATTAATCAACTTTTTATCTGTTGGCCAATAGGACCCGTAAAAATGCGCAAAATCGTATTTGTAACAAAATTCTTCAATTTTTTTTGTAATCGTTCCGAAACATGAATAATTCCTTATATTAGGACTTTTTGTACAAAATTGACTGCCAAAGTGTATATTTCCCAGTTTTATATTATTTATATAAAAGTTTGGTATCTTCTTCTTTAAATATCCTTTTAGTATCACAAACTCTTTCTGTTCACTAAATAATAATTGTGACAGACAAAAATTTTTCTTAAGAGTTAATATTATATACATTTTTTTAAATATTTCATTTGATTCTAGTAGTATTATTGTTTGATATACAGATGGGTATATAAATGTAGTAGATTTATATTTCTTTTGTAAATATCTCGTTTTTTTAACTTTTTCATCACGCTCGACACGTTTTCTATAAAAAAAAATTCCAGATACCCCGATAATAAAACCACTTATGAAAAGAGGAAGGTACATTTTTAGGGGGTAAAAAAACAAAAAAAAAATCTAATAAAAGATAGTGTGTAAAAGGTTATGTTTTGTTAGAAAAAAGTAATTTAATCAATTTAAACAAAGTAAAAAATGATTTTAAAGGAAACTATTACGGAAATGTATGTAGATATTTAATATGACCAGTAAAACTTTTACAAATATATTTTGTATTTATTTATCTTTATTACTGGCATAGCTTTGTTTTAAATAATTTATAAATGACGGAATTGTATCTTCAACTTCTAAATTTATTTTTTCTTCATTTTCTTTTAAATAATAAATTATTTTCAATTCGCATTTTTCTCCAAGAAAAGGACCGGTAACTTTAAATACAAGGTAAGACGCCACACCTGAGAAATACTTTTCTATCTTAGGCTCACCCTCATCCATTACAAACATTATCTTAGATTTATCACATACATCTCCATTTTTGTAATAACAAACAATAGAGTTATTAGTAAATTTCATACGATCAAATTCCCCTAAATTTTGACATGTAGTATCATTTATCACCACTTTAAAGTGCTTTAGTGGGTTAATAACGTACACATTATTATTCTTCTCAATTTTTATAGATAAATTTTTTAGTTTATCGATTTGCTGTGGAAGAGGAACAGAGTTTAGTTTCTCACTTTGCCTTTCAATATAAAATTTTACTTTATCTTTCTTTCCTAAATATTGATATTTAGAAGTATCGGTATCTTTTGTTATTTTAGTAAATTTATATGAGACTGTGCATAAATGATGAATAAGGAAAAACAAAATCTGCATAAAAGGGGTATAAAAAATATAATATAAGTTTATTAGCAAATAATAGATAAAAATATTAATTATAGATTTAAAAAAAGTAAAATATACAGAATACTTTTAATATAAAATGCTAAGAATATTTAAATGACAGTGTAAATAATTTATTTTTACAATAACAGTATTTAAAACTTAAAATATAGCAAAAAGATTAATTAAACTTATAATGTTTTTTAAAACACTGTGATATAAATTAATAAGAAATTTTCATCACTTATTTGAATAAAGATCTTCTTTATATATATTACTTGTCATCGATATATTAGTAATATTTTATACTAAAATAAATACTTAGATATCAAAATTTTAACACTATGACAATAAAGCTGTATACATATCAATCAGCAATATTGAGTTGATAGCTTTTACATATCTGTTTTATAAGTACAAAAGTATTATTTATGATTTAACAAACTAACATTCAAAAGTAGAATTTATAAGTAAATATTATTATTTTAAAATTTTACTAAATTTATTTTAAAAAATATTGACACAACACCAAACAAAAGAATAGATAGTTAAATCATAATTTAATTCTGTCTAATAGTCTTCCAAAAATTAGCTAAAATAGGGTTAACTTTTTTTCCATGTTTATGCTCATAAATAACTTTTTTCAAATATCTCATTCTTCCTGTTCCAAGTGCATTTCTTCTTCTGGCTTTTATAGACCCAGGATTTCTCCATTTAGGCTCCGGATATGCACATGATGCACATTTTCTAAGTTGCTTGTGATAAGACATATTACCACATCTTTTACATAATGTATGATTTCTCTTATTCTTTTTACCAAAGCTTGCTGTTCCTTTACTCTAAAATTAAAAATAAAAAAATTCACTTACCATTTTATGGGTGAAAAATAAAAAAAATACTTGTGAAAGCATAAAAATATTAAAGAAGAGTAAATTAGTAAAAGCATAAAAATATTTAAATAGAATGAATTTGTAAAAGCATAAAATATTTAAATAGAATGAATTTGGAAAATCTAAAGAATAATGAATTGATAGATTTGTAAAAGCACAAAAATATTAAAGAAAAATGAAAAAAATATTAAAATAGAATGAATAGATTTGTAAAAGAAGAATTTTAATCATGAAATTCACTAACTATTAATTTCTCTAACACGTCAATATCATTAACTGAAGATTTAATATCTTGCATCTTGTAAAAGTACGGACAATATTTTACAAATTTAAGCATATCCTCGGATTTTACAGTCTTATAGGAAAAGAATAGTGTTCTTTTTGTTAAAATCTGTCTTCTGTTAAAAGTAGGTTCAGCATTATTTTTTACTAACTTTTTATACAATTTATAAAAGAGTGGTAAAGACTTACTTTTTGTTCCATTAAAATTATCTGTGGAATCATAAGAACGTTGACTAATTTCTGTACCAAGACAAATATTTTTAAATTCAAAGGTTTCATTGCTATCTAAAAAAAACAATACATCTAATAATTTCACAATGAACAAATATTCAGGATTATCTAACGAATTAGTTTTTATAAATGTCAATATTTCTGTAAAAATAACAGGAAATAACGGTAGTAATTTTCCGTGGTCAATTTTCACACATAAAATTTTTACAAGAAACCAAGCTTGTTTTCTAACTTTAATTGAAATGTGTTGTAAAAGACCTACACACATTTCAATAAACTTTGAATTAAATCCTGCGAATTGATTAAAGTTATTTGAAAATATTAAAAAAGCTATTCTTTTTAGCACATTACACTTATTATTGATATCCGAAACCTGTGACACAAAAAAGCTACTTTCTAATTTGTAAACTAATTCATCCATAATATTTAAATCTGAATTTAACAATTTTTTATATAAAAAACCCTTTTCTTTCAATTTAAATGTAAAAAATTCATTACTACCTAAATATTCTAATAATTGAAGCTTCATGCTTTGAATAGTAATCGTAGGATTTTCAGATAAAATAATTAAAATGTCAATTATAAACACCTTCATGCTTTTATCAGATGTTTTTAAAAGATCAAATAAAAATCCTAAAAAAGTCTGAAGTGCACTTTTAATCTTTACATTGTATTCCAAATGACTCAGAAATTCTATTAAAATAATTTTATCAGATTTAGATAAATTTCCCCTTTGCATGTGCATTATTGTTTGATAAATTATTGTTAAGAATTGATTATGTTCATCAGGCAATATTGAAAATAATTTTAACAAGTAAAGAAGCGTATTTACATCAGTAAAAGTTCTATAATTGACTATTTGATAGAGTGTTAGTTTATACTTTTTAAAAAACTCTAGTAATCCTACGTTTAAGCAAATTGAATCAAATTTAAGTAAAAATTTAAAAGCTTTACTTTGATTTATCGAATAAGATGATAAAATTTCACCATACAGTCTATCTTTAAAAGATAAATTAATAATATATTGTGGTGAGAATGTTGAACTAATTAAATATTCAATAAAGTATCCAGAGAATGTATTAAAAAATAGTTCAGATATTTTAGATATTGCTTTTACTTTTTGATTTTGAAAGTGAAAATCAAATCTTGCAATTCCTTTATTATCTTCCTTATTAGGCTTGACATATGTTACATTGTAAAAATTAATAAATTTTTGTATCATCATCTTTGCAATAAAAGCCCAATTAAAATTTATCGAATTACAATCTAACATCTTATTAATAATTTCATTGGCTATTAAAAATGAATAACCTTCTTCTGTTAAATTGTCTAAAATATGAGGTAGAATAATTATTAACTGTTTAATATCCAGAGAAAATATAATTGTTAGAAAATCGAAATAGTAAAAGCATTTACTATTTATAAATGCAATATATTGCATTATTATATTTGTATCATCTCTTAATTTTAATAATTCTCCTATAGATATAATTATAGCTGGATCATTCTTATATTTTTCACAAATAGTTAATATTTTATTGTAATCAACTGTAAGAATATCATTTTTTATAATAATTTCTGATTGTATCATAAATTGTATCATTTTAATACACTGAATTTTAATATTTCTTATACTTTCATGTAAATCATAATATTTAGAATCTTTTATGTAAGAAATGTCACATAAGAAAATATAAATTAAAATGTCAAAAAGAACATTTTTGTATGCAGGCATAAAAGATCCTATAACTTCTGTTAGTTCTTGTACATTTACGCAATAGTATTCACTGACCAATTCTAGTCTAAATTTCTGAGAATTGAACAAGCAATTTTCAATTAATTTTAAAATCCCTTTGATTTGTGAAATATTTGGTCTGTCAATAAAAATGTAATTCAATGTTCTTACATTAGAATTTATAAATCTATCAATGATAAATGAAAATATTCCTTTAAATATATAAATTGATTTAAGTAATGAAATCAATATTGGATCACGATTAGATATCTTATTATTAATCAAATAGAAAATATTATAGAAATAAAGTGAATTATCAGCCTGTAGCTCCATTACGAAATATAAAAATAAACAAATATGCTGTTTGTTCAGATCATTAACTTTTTTTATAAGTATACGCTCGTATCTTTGTTTAAAAATTCTATTATATTCATAGATCAATATAACTATCTGTTTTTTATTATCCTGTGACATGTCACAATTATTTAAAATAAGAATATCTGATTCTAAGGATTCTGATCTGCACGAAATAGTAGTTTGAGATAAATTAAATAATGAATTATAATTTTCATTGTAAACATTCCATACATCTCCATAAGATTTTTCATTATCTTGTTCTTCATTAATAAATCGTGTCCAAAGTTCTTTAAAAAGGATATCTCCGTTTACTGTGTTCACATCCTCATAAAAACATATTGATTTTTGCATAACATCTAAAGATTGTTTGATCATCCAATTAAAATAAGGTTGAACAAAGTCTTGAAGAATATTATTTTCTTTAAAATTAGTGTAAAAATCTAATATAAGACAATAATTTGCATCATTTAAATACCTTAATAAATACTTGGATATTAATGACATATAACAAGATTCAATATCTTTTAGAACACTTGCATTTTCCTGTACGTAAAATTCATCAACCAATTCAAAAAAATTATTACACGTCTTGCTCGATTGTTCTGTAAAGATAATTTTAGTAATATTTTTACTTAAAAATTCGTATCTAACTTCTTCATCAAAATACATGTAGTTTTCTAGAACAAATATTAGTAAAAGTGGAAGATGTGTGGATAAAACAGCATTATCAAACACTAAATAATTTTTTATGCAAAAATTAACAACCGATAAAACATCTGTTGGTGATTTGATGTCTTTTATTTCCTTAATTTTTTTCTTATCTTTACGTTTATTATTTTTCTTCGAAATGTTTTCGTTAATTCCATAATTAGAATCATTTAAATGATCTTCTAAAACCAAGCTTGAATCATTTAAGTTGATCGAACTTTTGTTTTCTTCAAGAGGAAATTTTAAATCGAAACTTATATCATTTTTTGATGTTTCTGAAATATTATCTGATGTTAGATTATTTGCAAGATTAAGATCACTAAAATTTTCTTCTAAATCATTAAAATTCCCTTCTAATTTTTGTAAATCATTAAAGTTCCCTTCTAACTTTTGTAAATCATTAAAATTCCCTTCTAACTTTTGTAAATCATTAAAATTCCCTTGTAAACTTTTTGTTATTTCTAGATCATCAGATGGCAATCTCTCTTTACCATACATTTCACCAGAAGCATCAGGAGAATCAACACTTTTTAAAATCTTAAAAGAAAGGTCTTTATGACTATCATAAGAATCAGCTTCTAATTTTTTCTCATCTTTATATTTCTCGATTTCATTTTGCTTTTCTTCATTAAATCCTCTAGATTGACTTGTATAAACTGTATTTTGACTCTCAGGAAATATAATTTTACTTATAGATTCATTTTCTTCTGTTTTATTTCTTAAACAAATATTAGGCAAATAATCTTTTTTAGATAGCTTAACTTGCTTTATACTTGTTATTGAGTTTTTAAGTTCCAAATAAAATACCTTCCATAATTTGTCTAAATCAGTTGTTACAAATATTTTACTTATATCAATTAAATTTTGCTGATTTAAAGGTTTATCTCTTTCTAAAATAGTATATTCCTCAATATTATCATCAATATAATTTTTAGAATAAACTAAAACTTCAAAGAGTAAATCTTCTAAAATTTTTTCTGTTAATTTTACTTTATCTGACAAAGTAGTAAAAATTTTAAAAAATTGTGAAGTTAAACGTCTTGTCTTTAAAATCCTTAATAATGTCTTTGTAACAATTTTTATATCTGTAAATTCATCATCTTCTGCAATATTTATCCAAGAAAATACTTTTTTATTTAGACTTTGTTCCCTTTTCCCAAAGATAAGAAACATTCCTTCTAACAAATCACTATTCATGCTTTCAGAAAATATTTTTTCTTTTAAAGGAAACATGTGTAAAATTAAATTTAAGGTTCCTCTAAGTATTAGAAGATCATCACTTTTAAGCCCTTCTTTTAGTGCTTTAATGACCAGTAGTTTATCAGAAATCATTGTATCATAGTTTATTTTTTCATTCATTAAAAATAATATTATAGATTGTCTTAGATCTTTATTTTGTAAGAAAATCATCCATAAAGAATTATAAAACTTTTTTTCATCAATTTCTACTCTAAACTTTTTTATAAGTTCAATACCTTTGTCATAACATTCACTTGCTTCTGATTCTATAGCCGGTAATATTCCATATAACACGTTTATAGTAAAACAATCTATTTTTTCTCCTAATACAATAATATACTTTTCTAATAAATCTAGATATGTACTTATTACAAGTATTCTAGAATGACAGCCAAACTTTAATAATCCTAAGGTATAAATACCAAAATTTTCTAATAGTTCATCTTCAGATATTGTATCAAAAATAATTGAATAAGTTTCAAGCACTTTTTTATGCACTCCCGCAGGAAGTAAAGGATTTAAACATTGATTTAATCTTTTGCATAAAAATTCAACTTTTGGTATAAAAGGTAGTGAATAGGTCTGAATAGTACTATCAAGTGAAGTAAGTAAAGCTATAAAATCTGGCCACTCTTGTGCGTTTTTAAATGATTCAAGCTTTTTTGTTATTTCTATAAAATATCTTTCATCTTTGTTTGACATAAAAGGGTAGAACATAATGTTTTTATTTACAAAATAAATTATTATAAACATGTTGTAAACAAACAAACTTACTTTTTAATGAGGATTTTAAGCTGGAATTCGAATAAATTTGTGATCTCTAAAGGGTTTAAAATATTAGTAAATTTATTTTCTAATGAATGTGAAATAGCAAGTGCTAATTCTAGATTGTAATTGTCTTTAGAAAATGTTATTGGTATTTTATTTTTGTCAAATGAATCAGATTCAAGTTCTACATCTTCACTTGACTCCTGAGAATTCTTATTGTTTATTTTTTCTCTTTCTACTTCTTGTGTGTTTACAATGTTATATGAAACACGTTCTTTATTATTTTTATTACTAGTTGGTGGTTTTCTTATATTTTCTTGTTCCATTTTGAAGGATTTTATTTAATAAAAAATAAGTTAAATAAATTTTATATTTAAAATTTGTTGCATAAAATAAATAAAAATTAAATAAATTTTATATTTAAAATTTGTGTGCATAAAATAAATAAAAGTTAAATAAATTTTATATTTAAAATTTGTTGCATAAAATAAATAAAAATTAAATAAATTTTTATTACTTTAATATAAAAAATGATTAATATTTGTCATTACATTTCAAATTTTTAAAATTGTAACCAGAATCCTGGTGAGCAGAACAGGAGATACTTTAAAAAAAGAAAAAGAAGTGTTTATATCAGTTATATTTATTGAATCCGGTTTATATGGTTTTAGCCTTGTTAAAACATTTTATATTAGATTTGTTTCATTTGTTAGTTTAAGCCTGATAATTTAAGTAATAAGAACTACAGCAGGCAATAAAAATAATTATAAACCTAATAGTTCTATTATTTATTTATTTATTTATTTTTTTAGATTAAAAGACAAAACTTAAATATTTATAAAATTTGTAAAAAAAAGAAATAATCAACAATCCTTAGTAATAAAAAAATAACTGAATAATACAATAGAATAAAGAATAAGCATATGTTAAATAAATTTATTAATTATAAATGCCCTAAGTATACAATCCTATAATATATTTCTTACCATTTTATACACATTATTTCTTATTATTATAATACCTTTCTAATATACTTTTTCTTCCATACTTTTCTAGTTCATGTATTACCTTAGGATCTTGTAAATATCCTTCAACCAGTTCAAATTTTAAAGGGTTAAAATTCCTTATTTGTTTTATAATATCATTATTTCTTACTAATTTTTTAAAAAAATTTTCAAGATCTTTTGAAAAAATAATATCATCAAGTGTGATCATAAGGGTATAAAAAATATGTAAATAAAGGATATAGTAGACAGTAAGGGATAAGAAACATAAAGTTTAATTAAATATTTAAAAAATAATTATAGTAGACATGAAGGGATAAGAAACATAAAGGTTAAAAATAATTATAGTAGACATAAAGGGATAACAAACATAAAGGTTAAAAAATATTTAAATAAATAATTATAGTAGACATAAAGGGATAAGAAACATAAAGATTTTAAAAAGAATTTACAAATCATAAAAATATGAAATTTTAAGGGTATAATATTAAAGCATAAAAGATGGACACTAATGAAATACAACCTTTAGAAGCATTATATCTAAGTATGATAGATAAGAAAAATGTAGAAATATATGAAAAAGAAGGAAATACTATTCACAGGGGATACATTGTAGGATTTGATGAATATATGAATATTGTTATTGAAACGGGTCACAGTAGATATTTATTGAAAGGAGATTGTATTCTATCGATAAACATTAAAAAAGATTAATTAAATTTTTAATAAATATTTTGTTCGTCAGTTTATAATTTAAATTTTGATCAAAAATTTTTATATTTCAATTGTTATTTTTACTTAAAATATATTTTTATAAATTTATTTTCCTTTTTTAGAAATCAAAATTTTTAAATAAATTTTTTACATTTTTAACCCTCAAATTTAAGATGTTTTTGTTTTCTCTATTTTTATTTGTTAAGTCAACTACTACTAGCATCGATTACACATCTTTTGTCACTAAAATGATATCGGAGAGTGATACAAATAAAATCATTTATAATCGGAATCTCCTTAGTTTAATTAATAGTAGATTTGTTATTCCTTTAAGAGCATTTGATGATACCATTTACTATCCACTTGAGATGTCTGAAATGTCAGAAAAATACAAGTCTAGCATTTTAAAAGAAACTGATGATTTTTATCAAATAAATTCTTTTGAAAAAAAAATTAGCATAAATGACATGAATGGTAAAATTTTAGGAATTTTAGGAAAGTCAAGAAATTTAGTTATTAGTGTCAGAGATTATAAAAATAATGAAGAAAATTTAAATTTGTTAAAAGCAGTTTGTAAAGATACGGATTCTTTTGTTACAATTATTCCTGCATCTTTGTCTGCAGTTGTAGGTATGCTTGTTAATGATGTGGAGGTACAAAAATACTGTATTATTTCTGTAGTAGGAAATGTGACTGTTTGTACAATTTATGAAATTACAGCTAGTGATAAAAGTGTGAATATTAAAACACTCTTTTCTGAAGAATATAAAAATTTTGGTGAGTCTCAATTTGATAATATAATTTATAAGCATGTTAAATCTAGTTTACAAAAAAGAGGAGATAAAAATCTTGTTATTATTCCCACCTTTGATGAATACGTTTATAAGGATAGTGATTTATTTTTAGATATTTCAGGAATATGTTTAGAAATAAAAAAAAATATTAATTTTAGTGTATCTAATCGTCCTACAGAAGAAGAAGTAGCTATTAGTAAAAATGATAAAGATGTAAAGAAAATAATTGAAAATTTAAATTGGAATTTTGATGAAATAAAAAATGATTTATTTGAATCAGTAAATTCAAAACAAATGGCAGAATTTACGAATAAAATATTGGAAAAGTGTGCGGAATATGGTATTAAAAAAAAATATTTAATTAGTACCTATAATGACACGTTAATTAATAGGATATTAAATTTGGATAATTTATCAAATATTCAAGATACATTTATTTTGAAAGGTGGTCTTAAGTATGTTCAATCGAGACACATTACATCAAAAAAGCAGATAACATCTGATGATCCCAGAATATGTGAAGGAAATACTATGTTTAATAACTCAATGTTTTATTTAGAAGAAGAGATTAAATTAAAAAATAATTTTATAAGTAAAATTCAAGAAATAAAAGCAAAAGAAGGTAAATATTTCGAATTTTTATCAGACGATGCTTTAGAAAAAATTGAAAAGTTTATTAATTTAGATCCTGATGTTAATAATTTGAAATTAGAAGATGTAAAAAAATTTTTTGCTATTTTGAAAGAGCTAGATTATAAAAATCAGAAAACTAAAAATGATAAACTAACAAGACCGGATCAAATAAGAAAACTTGAAGATATTATTGAAAAAGTAAGTAAAGTTAAAGAAGAGAGAAATGAAGTATGGACTAATGCACTTGAAAAAAAATTAACTGAATGTAAAACTTTTTTAGATGACAATAGGAAAAATTATGAAGTTTTTGGATCTGATTTTGTAGAAAAAGCTTATACATTGGAAGGAATATTGGATTCTAGTATTCGGTCTTTTGAACAGAGGAAAGCAGCAGAGTTGGCTGCAGAGGAAAAAAAGAAAATGGCTGAATTGGAAGAAAATAAGAAAGCAGCTGAAATAGTTGAGGAAGAAAATAAGGAAGCAGCTGAAATAGTTGAAGGAGAAAATAAGAAAACGTCTGATGGAGAAAATAAGAAAGCAGCTGAAACGGTTGAAGAAGAAAATAAGCAATCTTTTAATAATCAATTAAAAGGGGATAATCCATTTGGTGCAACTTTTCCCGATTTTAGTAAGTTAGTTTCGAGTCCTGAAAAATTAAAATTGTTACAAGAAGAATTTGGGCGTTATTTGGGCAAAGAAAATATTAAAAACTTTTTAAATAAAAGTGCTGTAGAAAAGAAGCATAATGACAATCCAGAAAAGCAGAATGCTTCTGAACGAGATGACAACAGAGATTTATAATTAAATATTTTTTGTTTTTAAGAATAATGTATTTTTTTAATTTACATACTGGTTGTCAAATAAAAAACCAATTTTTACTAAAACTTTTTAATCCTGTCTCAATTTTTCAACACTTTTAACTGCACCATTTTCACGCACAACGTACATCTCAAGATAATCTCCTGTTTTTACGTCTCGTTCAGATGCAGCATCAAAGGCTTTTCTCACTACACTTTTAGTGTATTCTTCATCAACTACAGGACTTTCTCCTATCCAGTTCTTTTTTTCGATTAGTGAATCCAATAAAGGCTGTATAAAAGAAGCACCACTTCCATTACAGACTGTACTAACTTTTTCAAAGTGCCCCAAACAATCAAATGAATATACAAATGGTTCACCATCACAGAATCCACTTAAAGTCACATATGAGTAGTAAGGGAACAGCCTCTTAGAGTACATAACTTTACTAGCCAGATTAGCAAGACTATGAATTGATATTTTATTAAATGACTCATAAAGAAGTACTTGATATTTTAGTATATTAATTAATTCTATCCCATCAGCATAAAAACCTGTAATAGTTACTAAATAATCTCCGATATAGTATATTTTAGGTGTATTTCTACTATAAATACCCATTTCAGAGCAGTGTCGTGTATCAGCGGCTACTATAATAAGATCATTAAGTTTTATAGCTACAGCTGTTCCTGAATTATCTTCGTATGGATTGAATTGTGGCTCCTTTTGTTTTGTTACTTTACCTTCCACAGAATCAGTAAAAGATTTGTAGTCTTTAAAAACAGTAGATGTACTTTCCTCAGTGTCTATATCAAAGCTTAAAGATACAGTAGTATCAATTTTTAAGGTTTCTACATCTAATACGTTTACATCTTTAGATGTCTCAGTATTGTTAATTTCCTTTAGAATATTTTTTGAAGAGGCTTCCAAGAAAATCATTGGGGTTTTGTTTTTAAAGTTTAAAATAATTATTGAAATAAAAGAGAAGTGAAGTAAAACCTAATAAAAATATTAAAAAGATACAACACATAAAATATGTAAAAAATTAAACTTAAGATAATCAAGTAATAAAATAATTTATTCTTCTTGTTTCATAATATCATTTTCATCATTAACTTCCATATCTCTTACCTTTGCTGCTATAAGAATGTGACATGGACTTTTATTGAAAGGAGTTACTCGGCCATGTGCCCTAAACACTCTACCGAATATTTTAGGTGCTCTGCATATCTGAACGTGATCCAAATCTAACTTTTCTATATCAATACCCTTTTCTGTAGCCTGCTCTTTAATATTTTCTAATACTTGTAATATAGCCACTGCTGACTTTTTAGGCCATCTTCCTTTTCTCTGTCCAAATGCTCTAGCCTGCCTGGTGTGTCCACATCCCCTAGCATACCTCCTCATTGGTACACACTCTTTTTTAACAATTACATTGTTGAGGTAAGAAATAGCATTAAGAAGAGATCTTTTTCTTAGAGTACTGGCAGTCTCCCTCGTCTTTTTAAAACTAACTCTTGCACTATCAAGTTGTGATTTAATGACTTTCGTAGGGTCTACAATATCATACGCGAAATTAATAGCCATATTTTAGGGGATAAAAAATAAAAATTTTAAATTATGCATAAATGAAGAAGAGTGTTATAATTTATAAATATTATTTCTTTAATTAGCACTGTCAAATGTTCTCTTTACACTCCACGGTACACGGCACATCGGACAGAATCTTTTCTTAATAATCCAGTCTGCTATACAATGTACATGATACGTATGATCACACATTCCTACACAAGGTTTGCACTCAATAGGATGTGTGCATTTAGGACACATCTGATCAAATGTCTGCTGACATATTCCACACAAATCTTCATTTATCTTCCATCTCCACGAATAAGTTAGAAAAGCCTTATTTATTTTAAACATAAAAAATAAGGATAAATAAAAATTTAAAATATTAATTTATAAAAAATCTTATTCTTTTTATAACTAATTATAGATATAGTTCTATACACCGTCTCTTACTTAGTGTTTTATATTAATTATTTTTAAAATATTTTCACCCTCATGTCGATTATTTGTAAATTTAACAACAAGTCATCATTTTATAATTTAAACACTGCCTTTGATCTTAAGGTAGAATTGTCTACTAAATACAATCTAAATATTAATGATATTTCTCTTTTATGTGGTACAAGATTTTTAGAAGACACTTCAATTCTCTCTGTTTTTAATGGCCAGGAAGTTAATGCTATTCTAAAATGTGTGGGAGGAGGAAACATGTTAGATGAAAATGATAGAGAATTAGCTAATAAAAGAAATAAGAGATTAATATGTAGGAGATGCAATGTTAGATTATCTGTTAATGCTACTAATTGCAGGAAGAAAGGATGTGGTAGTAAAGATTTAAGACCTAAGAAACAGCTAAAGGCAGTTAAAAAATAAATAATTTATTTTAATAAATATTTTTATTCATTTTTTTTTATGAAAGATTGAAAGAAAATACAGTCACAGAAATGTGTGGAGAAAATACAGAACCGGAAATGTGCGGAGAAAATACAGTCACAGAAATGTGCGGAGAAAGCACAGCTACGGAAATGTGAAAAAAATACGGCTACGGAAATCTGCCCGACTAGTGAGAAAGTTGTGTTAAATCTTTCAAAAAACAAAAATTAAACAAAAAATTATTTATTTTAATTAATATTTTTATACACTTTTTCTATATTTTCACTTATAAATTCATCAAATAATTTTATAAACATATTTTTATTAACCACTACTTTCCTTTTTTTCTGTGGTTGTATCTGCTGACTTATTATATTATCTGTATTCCTTATAATATCCCATTTAGTCTTAGTAGACATGTCCCAAACATATTTAACTTGATAACCTTTAGTCATTAAATCATTATAACACTTATCTGCAGATCTACTATCATAAAATTCTACACATTTCGTATTCTGATTGGCATTCCTAATGTCTTTTACTTCTCCATACTGATTTAATAAAGACTCATTAAACTCTGTTATATTTTTTAATGTAATAAATAAAGTACTCTGATTCTTATTTTTATCACATTTTTCTTGGTCTTTTGGCAATTCATATTTACTAATTGTATAATGTACATTATATTCCTTACTAATATATTCTTTATAACACTTATCACTATCTTTAATATTGTAAAATATAACAAATAATAAAGAATTATTATTAGGAATATTATATACTTCTTTTATGTCGTATGTATTTTTTATTTCTGATGAGAATGATGAAGGATCTTGAATATTTGTAAAAAGGAGTGTCTTAGTCTTTTTCTCCATAAAAGGATAAAAAAATAAAACCTAATATCTTAACAAGAAAATAAAGGAGTAATTATTTTAAGTTGAGTTAGTTCATGTACTGAATAAAGATTTAAATACTAATAATATAAATAAATGGTTATTTAGGTTAAGTTAATTAAATAGAAATAAACAATGTAATTAATAATGGTGTAGTAAGTTAGTGATTATTTTTGTACTAAGGATAGAAATTTATATCTCATTGAACTACTGAAAATTGATCATTTAAGTTGAGATGGCTTATAAACCAAAAGACTAGCAATTTTAATTCAATTACTCTACAATCAAAATTTAAATCAATTTTCTACAATGAAAGAATCAATACATTTAAAAAATATTTTATAAATCAAGATTTCCTAATTGCACAAAACCAAAAGTAATTGTTAACTCATTCATTTTAAAATATTTTTTGTGCTTTATGCACATTTTTATTTTTTCCCTTTTTTTAAGTAAACATCAATGAAACGTTTCATTTATAAAAAAACAATTTTAAGGGGTACACAAAATGACACAAGACTTGTTAATGAATGAAGAATCGCTCAAAACAATGTTAAAAGGCAGTGCAGTAATATTTGCTATGCTTCCTACACTGATAGGTGTCGCCTTTGGACTTGTACATGGATCTAATGGTGTATGTAAAGCTGCTGATTATTCTGTAGATCTTATTCATGCAATTATGCCAATGGGTTTTATTTCTGCTCCTTCAATATTTTCCATTATTATGTTTTTTTACATTACAATTACAGAAGTAGAATCTATTGATCATGGAATTAGAATGCTTGTATCTTGTGTTATCCAGGGAATAGGAAATTGTTTTGGTGCTTATTGTATCGGTAAAATGGCATCTTGTGCATCTGTAACCAAAGCACAGCAAAAGAAGTTTAATGGATCATTCTTTTTAGTTATGGTATTTGGAGAGATAGTTGCTTTGTTCTCTTTGGTAGGTGGAATGATTTTCTTAACACTTGGTGCCACAAAATCTTAAATAAATTTTAGAATAAAAATTTAATTGAAAATTTTTTATATTAAATTTTAATATAAATTGGTGATTTATGAAAAAAAACAAACAAATTTAATAAAACTTTTTTAATTTGTACAAAAGATCAAAATATTCATTATTTTCATATCCTCTCTCTTTACAAATATTTAATAACTTCTTTGCTTTGATAAACTCTTTATTTTCTATCGTCTTTTTAATATAAAAAAATAGAACTTTTTTGTATCTAAAAATATCATACTTTTTAATATCAATATCTATATTCTTTAACAGGCAGTTATATAAAGCATATTCTTTTATTTGACTTAGTAACTCGTAATTTTCTTCATAATCTATTTTTACAGAAAAAATATTATCCAATTTTTTAATATCAAGTAAGAAATTATAATAAGTTTCTTTAAGTGCTCTACGTTCCTTAACAATAGATTTTAGTCTTTTTTTACTAGTCTCTTTGTTTAAAGGAGTAAACATACAAAAGGGATAAAATATCACTTTTTAGAAATAAACGTGTATGTAATGTTTTTGCAAAAAAATGTGCTGAAAGATTTTTCAGTTTCTCGTTTGGTGTCCTTCGTAGATTTCTGCATAAATTTAAGACCTTTTAGTTTTTCACTAAGTTCTGACATTTTGGGGCTAATTTTTTAGTAAATTTTATAAACTTTTTACTTTAACAGATGAAACGACCGTAAAACAAATATTTTTAATTTGGTGCTAATTTTTTAGTAAATTTTATAAACTATTTATTTTAACAGATGACTAGCTACAAGACAAATATTTTTAATTTGGGCTAGTTTTTTACAAAATTTTATGAACTATTTACTTTAACAGATGACCAGCTGCAAGGCAAATATTTTAATTATAATAAAAATTTAAAAATAAAAAATTATTTTTTATTTTTTTTGCTTCGCTTGTCTTTTTTTAATCGTCTATCAAAATGTATAAGTCTTCCTTTGCCTCTAGGAATACCACATCTACCGTTTTTAGGAAAAACAATTCTTGGTTTGGTTCTTGTCTTTCGATATTCCTTTTTGTATATTTCTTTAGCAATGATCCTCTCTTCATCACTTTCTTCTATTATCATATCCTTCATAAATTTCTCTGCTCGTCTCTCTGCCCTAGTCTTTCTTCTTAACAGTGCTTCCTTTTCTTTTTTTGTTAACTTACATTCATCTGCTTTACAGGGTCTACCATTCGCATACTGATCTTCTCTTAGATAATTCGGTAGTTTTTCTTCAGGATCTGTCCAATATCTATCTACAGTACTTTCTATAAACTCAGTTGGATTATCTTTGTATCGAGCAATACATAACATTTCCTCTTCATTAACATCCAACGAATCAGAACAACTTTCTATATCTATATTATCATCTACACAGACCATTTCTTTTGTTTGTACTGGATGATCTTCTTCATTTAAAACCATATTCTTAAACAAATCATCTTCATAAAATGTATCTACAGCACACAATACTTCTTTATCTATTCTATTAACTTTTTTTGATTTTTTTAATTCATTATCTATTTCTTTTATTTTTTCATCTAGAGTAAGAGTAACCATCTCAAAATCTTCTTCGTAGTCACTTTCTTCGTCTTCAGTTAAAAATTCCAATTCTTTTAGTTTTAGTTTACCACTTTTAACATCTTTTATTATTTGTTTTTTTTTCTGATAAATTTTTTTTACATCGTTTTTCGATAAAATTTTTACATCTTTAATCAAAAATTTAAATTCTTCATCAAGCTCAATTGGTAAATCATTTTCAATCTCTGTTATTTTACTAAGAATATCATTGTCAGATGATCTTATAAATTCGGAAAATTTAATTTTGGTGTACTTGTAATCTAAAAAATCGTCTTCGTTGGTCTTAAAAATATTTTCATAATTTAAAATATCATCACTGTAATTATCAACTCCTCTAAATCCAAGACACACTACAAATATTTCCGCACTTTGTAATCTTGAACTTAAAGGTTTAGTAGCCTCAACTTTACTAAACATTTTTCCCAAGACGTTAATAAGTGAATCGTAATCGTTCGATCGAAAAATCTTTGTTACAAATGTACCGCCTTCGCGCAAAAAAAGCGAAGACAGTTGTAATGAATAGAAAACAAGAAGATTTTGGTTAAACGCATCATTCTCCCAAGATGTACCTACGTTAGGTGCTCCATCATGAAGAATAACATCTGCCTGTCTAAATTCCGTATCACTTAACATCCCATACAGCCGTTTTCTACACTCATCTGATGTAATGTCACAGACAAAAGTTTCTACGTCCCCTATGTATTTAATAGGGTCCAGATCTATACCAATAATTTTACGAGGCCTAGGCATTTCTTGCGCTGCTACTTGTAGCCACCCACCTGGTGCCGCACATAAATCTATTAAAATTTTAGCATCTTTAAGAAAGCCGTATTTTTTATTAAGTTGAAGCAATTTAAATGCCGATCTTGCTCTGTATCCCTTTTCTTTAGCTAGATTATAATATTTATCTAAGCGCTGTTTTCCCAGAGATCTATTTTTAGACATTTTAACGGTAAAGAAAAAAATAATTTTAAAGAATAATAGAATATTATCATCTAAAACTTTACAAAAAAATAGTTAGAATAGTAAATGTAGGGATTTATATGGTACAAATATATCACTCACAAAAGCTAAAGCTAAAATAGTTGAGATAAAAAAGTTTAACTCATTTAAAAAACAAATGTTATGTTCTAAATGTAACATTAATACAATTATTTCATTTACACAGATTAAAATATTATAAAAGCTCTTTTTAAAAAAAATAGATCCGTTTTTATTCATAATTTTAAATATACACATTTTTCTTATTAATGCTTCAAAGCTTTTAAATTCTTGCATAGCATATTAGATAAACAAAATCTTACTTAAAAATAATTTAGCTAAAATATTTATTTATCTCCTTTTTAAATTCTACGCTTCTCTTTTTTCCTGACTGTGGTCTTGTATAAAATTTATTTATTTCATTCTTTTTTACTCCTTGTTGCAACAGATGATCAATAAATTGTCCAATTTTTTCATATTTTTTATAAGTCTCGACATAAGACTCATATACTCCTAATAATACTTTTATAGGGATTTTCTTAATAATAAAATTTAATTTATCATAGATATCTTCTGAGTCTTTTAAAATCTTCATAATTATCTCCTCATCACTAAATCCTTTATTTTTGCATTCATTATATAGTTCCTCTGTGGTAAGTATCTTATCACATTCCTCTTCTGTAGATATAAACTCTGTGTATATCGTCGTAGGTGGTGTAATATTTTTACTTATTTCTGCATTTAATTTATGCTCATAAACACTTGATTTACTACCGCATGCAAGACATTCAATTTTAAGAGCAGGCTGAAGAATAAAAAATGTCTCGGGATTCTCACAATTATAACATAAAACGAAGTGATCAATAAAATCATACAAAATATTCTGTAAAAGTGGTTGTTCATGTCTACCACTAATAATATATTTATTGTTACTCTTAGTTTGTAGAGAAAGAGAATATGAGATGTATTTAAGAATATGTTCAGATTTTCTACTAAGTGACTTCGAAATATCATCAAGGTTTACAAGTACTGTTTTTATTCCTGTATTTTTACCCTCGTATTTTATTACTAATGGAGGCATTTTATATCTGTTGTGAATATCTTTTGTATTTCTGTTAATTACTATCATGCATAAATATAAGGGGCAAAATAAATGAGTTATAATAAAATATTATATTATTGCTTATTTAAAAAAATAATTTACAGATATAAGTAATAGTAACTAATTATGTTTTATAATGCACGATGTAAATAATATTTATTTTTTTCTATTAAAATTTTAAATTACTGTTTACTGTTAATTTTATTAATAAAAATTAAACTTAAAATTTTTTATAAATTATAGAATACATTTAATAATATTCATTGCTTCCTATTTAACCTCATATGTGCATCAATTAGTGTATTATTAGTTAAAGCACACATTCCTGAAATTTCTCCGGCCAAAACAGCTGCTGCTATTACTAAAGCCAAATAATTAGCAGAGGTGCTTAAGTCACGTGGATCATTAGTCAAAGGCTCTAATCCGTCAAATTGCTTAAAAAATGCACATGCAGGTTCTAGGTGTGTACCTCCTCCTACTGTACCTACTATAAGAGAAGGCATTAATAGATTAATTTCTAATAATGTATCACCGACTCTTTTCATATCCAAAATACAGTTTGATGATTCAAGTACATGCCCGAGATCTTGATTAAAAGCCAGAAATGTAGCTGCTACATAATTTGAAGCTTGACAATTAAATCCGCCCAAAATTATACTTCCTCCTAATACTATTTTTGTATTATACAATTTTAATAAATCATCTATATTAACTTTCATTACATCTAACAGATCTTTTTCACTAATTCTAATATTTAGAAAAACCCTTTTACCCCTACCATTCGCGTAATTTTCCACTGACCACTTTTTATCGGTGCAAATATTCGCACTTAAGGTTATTAGCTCTGAATCAGTAAAAATATCACTAATGGAACGAAAAATCTGATTGGCTGCCTTAGTAATCATATTCATTCCCATTGCGTCTCCAGTATAGGCTGTTATTTTTATAAAAACTGTACTTCCAAATAAATTCTTACTTTCAATACTCTTTATTTTACAAAATCTACTACCTTTCTCCCCTGCTTGTTTTAAAAATTCTAAGTTTTCTTTAACTTTTAGCCACCTATAAAAAAGTATAGCTGATTTAAAATTAGAAAACTCAACTGCTATACTGCGTGTTATACCTAGATTCTCAACATAACCGTTTACTCCATTACATTTATTAATTAATTTAATTCCACGACACATTGAAGCAACAAGAGCACCTTCAAATGTACATATTGGTATATAAAAATCTAAATTATTTATTTTAATTGGTGTATGTGATACACCTAAAGGCACTTTTCTGTATCCTAAGATATTTTCACAACATCTGTTATATATTTCGGTAAAATCATCATTTAAAATAATGTTATTAAGAATAATGCCTTTGGAGTTTTTAATATTGTTACGTATTTCCTTTGATCTTTGTTTTATTTTTTTATTAATTTCAGTTGTCATATTAAAGGGTAATAAATAATAGTTACAAGTTAATAATTAATTTATAGAATTAAAAGTAAGTAGCAACAATTGAGAAATTTGATATACGATTGTCACATGAATTTATTTAAAGTTTGTTTGTTCAAAGCCTAAAAAACATTTTTATTTATGCAAGCATTAATAAATAAAAATAACTATTCATACATCATCAAACATCCATGACATTCTTTCACTATCACTGGCATTTAAAGTAGATCTTACATGCTCACTATGCTTGTTTTTGTAATAATCTGCTGTCTTTTTAGATTGAATATTTATTTTTGTTATCTCTTTTTGTGTCTCATATCTGCTTGGATGCCATTTCTTTTTGCAGTTAATGTTAATTGACATTAAGGGATAAAAAATTAAAAGATGTTTGTAAAAAGATATTTTGCACTATTACCAAATAGCAGAATTATCAACTATTATTTAAAGCAGAAATTTCAACCATTATTAATAGCAGAAATATCAACTATTATTTAAAGCAAAAATATCAACTAGTATTAATAGCAGAAATATCAATAAGATAATTAATTAAAGCAGAACACAAGTTAGGCGAACTATTACATAACTTTAAATTTAAAGCAAATTATGTATATTTTATCTGATATTTAAAAATATTTTAATTTATTTTTGGTAGACAATTACAAATTAAGAATTATTTGCATAAAAAATTTGCAAAAAGGAATTTTAAATTTTTATTGGCAAACAATTATAGATATAATAATTAGCATATAACATTTGCAAAAAGAACACAACACGTTACAGCAATATGTAAAATGATAATTGATATAACTTTTTAATAATATTAAGATGTATTTAATTTTAAATAAGACAACTTTTATTTAAAAAATTAACTACCGCTAGATTACAATTATTTATTAGAAATTTACTCTCCTTAAATCCTTTATATTTTTAACTTTTATACCCCATAAATGAACGAAAAAGATAAAACGAAGCAGCGTATATATCTAACTGACATAAATAACGAACAACTATACGGAACAAAAAAACAAAGCAGAATTGAACTTAGAGCATTAAAGGATGCATATGCACTAAAAATTGAACCAGATTATTCTCCTAAAGAAAACGTATTACCGGAAATTGATTTGTACCGTGTGACGTCTTACTGTACAGCAGAAAATTTCAATCTCAAAGGCCTTAGTAAATTCCTAAAGAAATCAGATTTTGCCAGTAAAGTTTCTGTATATTTTGGAGAGTGTTTATATGCATCATTTAAATTTGATGATAAATCACATGACTGCTTTTTTTATGATTACGGTGTTTTAGTGTGTTGGGGGATGGACGAGAACGAAGAATCAAAGATTTTAAATCTTATTGAAAAATTCGAAATCAATAAATATGTCCCTTCTAATGTTGAAATAGAATCATTTAGATATGGAATAACAGAAGATCCATTTATTATAAATGATGTTATTTATCTTAATAGTGAAAATTATTTTACAAAGATGGTTATATCAATTGCGATTGCACAGAGTGTAAAATTAGACTTTTTTGAAAATTTGGTAGATTATACAATTGAACTTGTTAAAGATTTACCTGAGGAAGTAGAAAAAGAAGGTAAAGTTAGTAAAACACGTAAACAGTTACTTAAAATAATAGGTAAATTAAATAAATTACGCTTTAGTTTAAATCTTGTATCTAATATTTTAGATGAACCTGAATTTGTGTGGGACTATCCTGCATTTTCTTCTGTTTATGAAACATGTAGAAAATATTTGGATATTAAAAGTCGAGTAGATTTATTAAATAAAAGGGTGGATGTAATACATGGAATATTGGAAATTTTATCAGAAAATATTACAACTAACAATTCTGAGAGACTGGAGATTACAATGATATTTATGATATCTGCTAATGTAATTATAGGAATTATACAGATCTTTACTGTATTATGGATTTATAATCAATTTAAAAATGGCAAGTAAGAGTGTATATGCTAGAAAAATGTTGGATAGATTTGACATTTTAATAAATTTATTTTTTAATGAAATATTTTTACAATTTTTTGGAACTTTTAATTCAAATTTTTATTGTAAAAGTGGAAGTTATTGGAAATGCATATACATAAGAAAACTGATTTTTTAAATAAAAAATTTTTAATTTTATAACTAATTTAAACATAGTTGCATGCATTTTGTATCAAGGTTATAATAAGGTAATTAGTTGTAATGTTACAATGACTTAATTAATAAATTATTAATTTTAACAATGGAATTAAAAAATTACCGCAATTAAAAATAGAGAGTATCAAAACACCCGAAAAATTTCAAGCCCTGTTAGCTCAGTGGTAGAGCATTAGGCTTTTAACCTAAGGGCCGCGGGTTCGAGTCCCGCACAGGGTGTATTTTTGTTTTTGTAAAACTTTACTTTGTTATATATATAAAATGATACAAAATTTAGACTATATATTTTATTTATCACTACATGAAAGCTCACCTTAAATAAGAAACAATTTTTATTCTTACCATATATTTGATATAAAATATTTATAAAAGCATAAGTTTAGTTGTCTTGGTAACCTTGGTATAAATTGTGTACTTATATAAAAGTCTGTAATATTTACATCTAATTTAAAACAAAAACAACAAAGATCAAATTTATTAAAATAAGAATAATATATCTATAAATTAAAGACTCTCTTTTTGTTAGGAATATTAATATAACAATTTTGGTTTTAAAATAAAGCCAATATTTTTCGTTGTACAAATTTACCGTATTTTTGTTTTTTTAAAGCTAACTTCTAGAGAAATCACTTAATAGACTCATTAAAAAAATATAAAATTTTTATTTATTAGTTTTTTTCTAAATTTTTTTAATTGGTTTATTCTAATACAAAAAAAATATAAAACAAATATATTTATATCAAACATGTGTGGAATATTTGGATACGCAAATTTTTTAACTGAAAAGACAAAAAATCAGATTTCGAAAATTTTAATTAACGGACTAAAAAGAATTGAATACAGGGGATATGATTCTGCCGGGTTCTGTTTACAAGGAAATGATAATAAAAACTACGTGTTGTTTAAAGAAGTCGGTAAAGTAGAAAAACTTGAAGAAATGACTAATCAACAAAAAATAGTTGACATGGACAGGTTACTTTTTAATCACGTGGGTATAGCCCACACAAGATGGGCTACACATGGTAAACCTAGTGTTGCTAACTGCCATCCACTTAAATCTGATCCAGATGGTAAATTTTTAGTTGTTCACAATGGTATTATTACCAACTATAAAACACTTAAAGCTTTTTTAGAAAAGAGAAAGTATGTTTTTAAAAGTGACACTGATACAGAAGTTGCAGTTAAGCTGGCGCTTTATTTCTACAATGAGGAAATTAAGAAAAACAATCAACCTAAGTTTGTTGATATTATTAAAAAAGTTATTAAAAGATGTGACGGAGCGTTTTCGTTTGTTTTTATTTCGCCAATTTTCCCGAATGAAATGGTAGCTGTACGAGTGAGCTCTCCGCTTTTAATAGGTCTTAAAGGTGCCGATAAAATGTCTCTTGATTTTTTTAATGTAAGTTATGGGAATATTACCGATGATGAACCAGCATCTCCTTTAATGTCTGCTACAACTTCACCGATACTAACATCAGCGAATACAATTAATGTCAATTTAATTGATGATTTAAGAAAAGGGGTAGATCGATGTACGTTACACGCAGCAGATAACGACGAATTAGAAGTTTTTTTATCTTCTGATGCTTCGGCGCTTATTGAACATACGAATAAAGTTATATATTTAGAGGACAATGATATTTGTCATATTTTTGCGGGCAATTTAATAATACACCGACCTAATTCTAAAAATCAAGACACTTTAGGAGACAAGAGAGAGGTTAAGACAATAGAAACAGAGCTTAATGCAATAATGAAAGGTAATTATGAGCATTTTATGATTAAAGAAATAAATGAACAGAAAGAATCGGTTATAAATACAATGAGAGGAAGAGTTAACTTTGAAGAATCAACTGTTAATTTGGGTGGAATAAAAGAATATGTAAATATTCTAAAAAAGTGTAGTAGATTTATTTTTGTAGCCTGTGGAACAAGTTATCACGCAGCATTGAGCGTAAAAAGCCTTTTTGAAGAATTAATTGAACTACCGATTAATATTGAAATTGCGAGCGATTTTTTAGATAGATGTCCGCCAATAAATAGAAATGATTGTGTCTTCTTTATTTCTCAGAGTGGAGAAACAGCGGATAGTGTAATGGCATTAAGATACTGTATAAAACAAGGGGCTCTAACTGTCGGTGTAACGAATATTGTTGGTAGTACGATTTCACGCGAAACACACTGCGGTGTTCATATAAATGCGGGGCCCGAAATAGGAGTAGCAAGTACAAAAGCGTATACGAGCCAGTTTATTGCACTAATACTTATTGCAATACAAATTAGCCAAGATAGTTTAATTAAATTAGAAAGACGGAAAGTAATTATTAATGAGTTGAGAAATATTACTCACAAGATTTCTCAAGTACTTACATTAAATGATGATATTAAAGAATATGCTAAATCCATTTCTGATATTAATTCGCTGGTACTAATTGGTAGAGGCTATCAGTATCCAATTTGCATGGAAGGCGCTTTAAAAATTAAAGAAATAACATACATCCACTCTGAGGGGATAATGGCTGGCGAACTTAAGCATGGTCCTATTGCACTGGTTGATGACAAGTTAAATATTCTTTTGTTCGTTACTAATGATAAGAATTATGATAAAACATCTAATGTGATACATCAAATTACTGCAAGAAATGGAAAGCCCTTGATTATAGCATCTGAAAGCATAGCAGATTCATTTACATCAGAAAAAGTTTTTATTGTTCCTGATACGATTGATTGCCTACAAGGTATTTTAACAGTTATCCCTGTTCAATTGTTATCTTATCATTTGGCAGTTTTAAGAGGATTTAATCCAGATTTTCCTAGAAATTTAGCAAAGTCAGTAACAGTTGAATAAATGGTTAAATTTATACTTTTTTAATTAAAAATCAAAATTAATTTTATATATTTCATACAATAAATATATTTATTAAATTATCAAATTTAAAAGTTCTTTTGCACTAGATCTTTTACGTGGATTAAATACCAACATATGATCATAAAGATTTAAAAGCACATGATCATCCACATAATCTTTCAAATATTCTTTAATGCCTCCATGATTTGAAACTTTATGCTTACAGCCCATTTCTAACAAATCAGCCTCAGTTACAGAAACAGCTTTAAGAATCAAAGTTAACATATTTTGATTTGAATTACCTCTGAAAAGTACTTTTCCAGTGTGTAATTGTACGAGAAAACATCCTGCACTCCAAATATCAATTTTAAAATTATAATTTCTGTGTTCTAAAATATTTTCTGGGCTTCTATAACACCTACTAGATATATAAGCAATATTCTTTTGACCACTTTTAAGATGCTTAGCACTACCCATATCGCAAACAACAAGTTTATCTAAAGATGAATCTACTAAGACATTTGCTGGTTTAATATCTCTATGACAGATACCTTTGTTGTGGAGGTATTCTAAAGCCGAAATAAGTTGACCTGCCCAATTTTTTATTGTTGCGGAGGAAAATGTCTTCTTTTGTCGTATAAGTGTTTCAAAATCATAAGGATAATAATCTAAAAACAAATTAAGTATTTTACCATCGGTTGATTCATTTTCATAATTGTAGAAATGTAATTTTACTATGTTTCTATGTGAGGTCTGTTTAAGTATATCTAGCTCTCGATTACGAATTTTTGGATCCTGATAAACCTTTTTTAAAGCGTAAATCTTATTATTTGAAACATCTTTGACTTTTATTACAATACCAAATGTTCCTTTTCCTATATTTTCAAGATATGTAAAGCATAACTTTATGGGGGTTAAATCTAGAGAATAAACAATAATGGAAACAATATTATTTAATATTATCTTAATATCTTTTAATTTACTTTCTGACATAAGGGGGTTTAAATTTTATTGTTAAATAGTTCTTTTAATTTAGAAATTATTTATATATAAAGTTAAAAATATGTAGATGTGATTTAAACTGTACTTATAAAATTAAGATAATGAACAATTTATAAAAAAATAAATAGTTATTAATTAAACCAAGTTTTAAAAAAAATCAACCGTTTATTTATTTAATTGTCTGAAATATTATTAAGATATCTCAAAGACATTCCCAAAGTCCAATTAACTTCAATACCACGTAATTGTTGTTTAATTCCAAGGCGTTCTAAAAAAATTCTTAAATATTTATTTTTTATACTGTTAATATTTATAAATTTATCTTTTGTAAATTTTGAGCTAATATAAATAGGCTTGTTATCTTCTATAGGCACAATGTTCTTAATTTTACTTATTTTTTTGATATTTGTAAAGCCTAAATTATAACTTTTGTAAAATCCTTTTGAAACAACTTGTGTACTTTTACCTCCCATGTCTATTAATGTAAAATTTGGTGTTTTCAAAATGTATTTAAGAGCTTGATAGCCTAAAAATCCTTCATATTTGCCACTTAAAATACCATATTCTTTTATATTATACTTTTTTAAAAGCTTTACAACATAAAATAACTTTTTGAAATTTAACGGATGTCTAAATCCTGCAGTGCAATATACCCCAATAGGTATATTATACACAAAATTTGGTACCTGATCTATAAGAGAAATAATGCTCTTTTTTATATTATAAAAATTCATTTTATGTAGACCACCTTGTACTTCATACTTTTGGTATTGGATTAGTTCTTTGTCTTTTGAATATTTAAAAATATTAAATCTTGTACCCGTGCTGCCTATGTCTATTATACCAATTAAAAAGTGTATCATTCTAAAACAAATATTATTTTTTTAAATATGATACTATACTTTATAAATTTATACTCTCAATATATTATTTTAAGTTTTAGTTAAATTCAATATTTTTATATTTCTACCCATGTCCAATAAGTCCCTAGATAATTTAAATACACAATTCATTGATGTTCTAAAATCTCTTAATATAGAGGACAATAAACATCAAAAACTAAGCATCAATTTAGATCTTAAAAAGAAAATTAAAACAATAATATCTATACAATCATTAGAAGAAAGAAAAAGTCATATTCCAAAATATTTAAATAATAGCAATTCTTACATATCTTTACTGTCATTATCTATTTCACTCACTACAAAGACACTTTATACAATATTTTGCAATCATAATGGTAGAGAAATCTTAAAAAATGTTATTCAAAATTCTGATAAAGAAAAGACATGTTTGGCAATAGATCTTGTATATAGGTTGATAAAAACATATGATTTGGAATTTGATATAAAACTACTTATAGAAAAGGCTTGTGAATATGAAAAATGGGAAGTTCTTGATTTAGTAAAAACTTTTGATTTTTTCTTTGACGGAGATTGTTTATGCCAAATGTTAATTTATAAATTTTTGCATAAACTTCCAGATGAGTTTGTTTCTAAAATACAACAAAGTAAATTTAATAGAATTTTTGAATATATAAAAAATAATAGAATTTATGCTTCAAATATTTCTTTAGAAAAAGAGAATTTAAATAATCTTGAAAAAATCTTGCTAGATACACTATTTATTCGGACAGAAAAGGGGCTGGAGGTTTCTGTTATAAGAAAATCTACTACACCTGAACCTGTTAAAATAACCGAGCTTAATATTTGTCAAAATTCTAGTATTGAAACAAAAAAATCCGATACAGAAGAGCAATTATTGGTTAATGAAAGTAAACCTACTGTACCTGTTCTGACAAAACCTGATACTAGTTTGGATGAGAAAAAAACTTTGAAGAAAAAATTTATTTTCAAGAAAAAAGAGCCTAGTGTTGCTTATTTAAATATTAAATGGACTAAAATGCACAAAGTTAATACTGTTTTTGAAAATATAAATGTAGATAGTTTTAAATCTAAATTTTCTAAGGAAGATTTAGACTATTTTATTGTAAAAAAAGAAATAAAGAAGACTACGGTAGTTGAAAAAGGATCTATAAAAGAAGTCATAATGGATCCTAAAAAAAGTTATGCTCTAAATATTGCTTTATCAAGAGTAAAAGAAGATTATAAAGATGTTTTACAGAAAATTTACAATAATGATACTACTTACATTAATGAAAATTTGGTTAATCAACTACTTTTATATTTTCCTACTTGTCAAGAAATGGATAATATTATGATTTCTAATTCGACTGATAAGTACGTACTCTTTTTTAAAGAGTGTGGAGATCGATTCCTAGATGTTAAAGAAAATCTTCTAAAAATTAAGTTAGATATATTAATTAGAAATTTTAATTTTAATTATTTATTAGCATTTATTGGATTTTTTAGAGACATCAAAACGAGCATGTTTTTGAATGAATTATTAGGTATTATTCTTTATATAGGTAATATTGTTAATAAAGGCTCTACATACGCAAATGCTGAGGGATTTAGCATTCTTGATATACATAACATTTTAAATATGAGAATGCAAAATAACCTGTCTTCTACAAATGTAAATTGCAATAATAAAATTTCAGATTTCAGTTCTACTAAAAAAGATAATATTTTTACTTTTAAAGATTTAATTAGAAATAAAATCAGAGATTGTGATGTTAATTTATCAATTAAAAATATAAGTTATGATAATTTACTTACCGATATACAAGAAATTAATAATGTTAAAAAAGATTTAAATTTTACACATGTAAAATATGATGAGTTAATTAATTGTTACAGAGAATTGATGTCTCTGGCAAATGATATAAAGAAAGCATATAACTTAGAAAAAATTAATGATGAAATTATTTGTATTTTTATTACAATTTGTGAAATATTCGAGAAACACAATTAAGGATGCACATGTATTTTACAATAAATAGATTACTTTTACAAAATTAATTTATTTTTATCAACCAGTAAAACTTACATTCAATATATTTTTCGTTAATATTTTATACATACAGAAATGCCTTAGTGTAAATAAATTTATGTTTTTTGTTTATGCACCCCTTTCAATGAACAAACAAAAATTAACACATTTGCTTTCTTTGTTCAATTCTCAATATATTCTAAAACAGGAAATTATAAAATATTTTAGCATGGGAGATAAATTTAATGATGAAGAAATGAATATTTTACTTAAACTACTACCATTTGATTCTAATGACGGGATTAATTTACGTGATTTCGTTGATTTTATTCTTCAATAAAAAATTAGTTTATAAAATTGTATAAAAAGCTCTCCCACCGGGACTCGAACCCGGGCCACCAGCGTGACAGACTAGCATGCTACCACTGCACCATAGGAGATGTTAATGTGAAACGTATTAAAAACATTTATATTGTTGATTTTTTTGACTTTATGAAAGAACCGCAGATTAAATTTAAGAATGCTTCTATATCTGATGAGATGGTTTGTCTAACAATAAACAAGAAAGAAGAAGTAAAAGATGACAAAGCACCCTCCTTGCTTGTGTATGCTAAAAAGTTTTTCACTGCCATATACACTTATTTAAAGAATTTTATAAAATATGTTTTTTAATAAATATACTTCTTTAAATAATTAATTAGTTTTTAATAAATTTATTAAATGTTTGCCATAATTCCTGCAAAGAATATTGCAAAGCATACTAGCGTAATAAAACTATAAATGAATTGTGATCTACTGTCAGGAAACTGATGATCTCTTAAAAAAATATTATTTGCTATATACATTGTCAAGGATGAATATAAAAGATAAATTAAACTTGACAATGAAATAAAGAAACCGGCCAAAATTATAAAAACAGGTATATGAACTGTACTAATAAATGTAGCGTAAATATAAGAAGAAAGTGTTGTATCGTCAAGTTTACAGAGTAAATATTGAACAAAGTATCCCATGCATATAGAAAAAGCTAATAGAGCTAGTGTTTGTATAACTCCTTTAATAAGAAGAGGTGATAATGAAAACTGTCCATTAATCCATAAAGATAAGCCATCTGCAATAAGTATCTGTGGGAATAAACACCCCACTACAAAAGCTATACCTAACATATATGATGTATTTTTATTAATTGATATGGAATATAAGCATAGTGTCTTGTAATAATCTTCAACAAGTGATGATTTATTTGGAGAGGATATTTTTACTGCATTTAATTGTGATCTACGAGGTTCTCCTGATTGTCTTACTACCATAAAAATAAAGGGTGAGTTTATTTAAACTTGTTTCAAATAAAAAAACAAAAGGAGAATTTATTTTTATGCAATGCATAAATAAGGAACAAATGTATTTTAATTAAAAACGTGAGAAACTTTTAGAAAATTATGTTTGTTTATTTTTAATATATGTTAAATAAATTAGATAGTTAACTACTATATTTTTATAACTGCTATATATGTATTTAATCAAATATAAAATGAATATTTTAGAACATTAACCTTTTGTATTGTAATAATATTTTTACACTCTTTTTATCAATTAAACGAGAATATTAATATGTAAGTCTTATAGGCTTGATGTATACAAAAATATAAGCATTTTTTTAAAAAGTTTTAAAATTATTTATAAATACTTTTGTTTTCAAATAATATAATAATTATACGTACATGTCAACAGTTGTAAAGCTAACCATAAATAACTAATCTTTTTATTGTCAAAATCTTACAATACCTTTCAATTAATTATATTTAAAGACAATGAAACTTAATATTTATTATTTATTTGCTTATATTAATTAATCATAAAGAAATTACAAATTAAATAAACATAATTTTTATGTACATTTGATATTTATAAAGTAGCAGATAAAGTATAAAAATAAATAAAAAGTGTTTTAAAATTTATATTAATAGATCTTGTTTTATAAAAAGATATTTTACTGTTAATACAAAATAGATGTAATATAAATAGTAATTTTATTATTAGCTTAAAAAACCTATTTTTTATTGTAAAAAAAGTGCGTATTTATTATAAAAAATTTACTTTTTTTCTTATACAAATTTCAAATTTAAACGTGTTACCACAAGTACTTAAAGTTACATTTTTTACTTGTTTATAATTTCATATTTACTAAAACTTTTATTTTTTAGTCTTTTTTTAAATAACCTTTATTATTAAATAACTCTTAATTTTGATAACAACACTAAAAAGTATTTAAATGATTAATAAAATATAATACCATAGCTATTTATAAAATAGGTTTTTAAATAGATTTCAATAAGTTATCTTTGACACATTTATATATGAAAGTTTACAAATCATTATATTTTTATATACTCAGTAGTTTTGATATTTACTAATTTTTAAATTTTAATCTAGTGTATTTTAATTAAATAAGTCATGTGGAAATTTCTAAATAAAATTTTATTAGAACTATTATATCTTTAACTATAACTGTATGATAGTAAAGATGTAGACATGTCAAACAGCAGTATTGGGTTGCTGGCTTTGACATGTCTGTTATATTAATAATAATTATTAAATAAGTCCTTGTTATTACCAACAATAACATTTATTGTTTTTTTCATTTATGTTAATATATTACTTTTGTTAAATTTACTAGTTGTTTTTTTTAATAAAAAGATTTATTATATTTGCATTTTTTTATAAATAATTTATTAAATATAAATAAAATTTATCATTACTAATCTATTTAATATTTGTGTGATGTAAAACATATCAATTTTATAAAATTTTTAAAGATAAATTAATTTTGGCCCATATGGTAGTCAGAGCTTATAGATCAAAAAAGTACGATTTTTATAAACTCATTAAGCCATACACGAATTCATTTCTTTTTTTAAAAGTTAATACAGATGACATTACAATATTACAAGTTATATTAACATATTTTTCTTTTTTTATATTAATTTCCATAGCAATATTAATTAAATATGATAACATAATATTAGATTTGGTTGTAATACACAGTGGATTACTTATGTTTTATTTTATATTTTCATTATTTATTTATATTTTTATTAATCGTTATTCTTATTACACAATTCTTTTTATTGTTCTATTATCATTTATCCATCTTCCTATTTATATTGTATTGTACAGATATGCTTTTTTTAGACCAATAGTTATGCTTACTTATCTAATTTTACAAACATATTTTGTACGAAAAAATTTTGACATGGAAAATGACCTCATAACTATTTTATGCACAATTTTTTACTTTTTATTTTATCACATTTGCATAAATTAAAAGTTTACAAATACATTTTTTTTAATAAATAATTAAATACATATAATAATGTACTAATAACAAGGGCCATCTTAACTCCTTTTGTTTTTTTTTGTATCTTTAATTCTTTTGATTTAATCAAATGTATATCATTTTGTATTTTACTAAGTAATTTTATACATTTTGAACATTCTTCTAATCCCATTTTTTCATTTTCTTTTTTCATGTTTTCTATTTTCATGCTTAATTCTTTTAATAAATTTATTATATTTTTGTTAGAATTTATTTCTTTTTTTATAGTAGATTTTGAATTATTAATTTCATTAAGAATAATATCTTCTTTGTAGTCTTGATCTGATCCTTCTGTGAAATTTGCAAGTACCCCTTTAAGTTCTTCAAGAGTGTATTCTTCAAAATTCATAAATAAGGGAAATAAAAAAGTATGCATAAATTATTATGTATTTGTAGTTAAAGAATAAAGGGTAAAAGAAATGATTAGAGCTACAGAGAAATGCAAAAATTATATTGTTTTAAAAGCTACAGAGAAATACATAAAATATAATTTTAAAAAGTAAAAGAAATGCATAAAATATAATTTTAAAAAGTAAAAAAATGCAAAAATTATATTGTCACAAAAACTAAAAAAATGCATAAATCACTTTGTTTTAAAAACTAAAAAAAAGTGCATAAAATTTAATATGTTCATAAAAGAAATAGAACAATGTACATATGAAAGAGATGCACTTTGAATTAATCATTTATTCGTTATCACCACCATTTACGCCACATAATATTTGTTTATACTCATCTTCAAGCATAGCTAAATTTTCACGAGCTTCACTAAATTCTCCTTCTTCCATTCCTTCTCCTACATACCAGTGAACAAAAGCTCTTTTCGCATACATAAGATCAAATTTCTGGTTAAGTCTTTTCCATGCCTCAGCAATAGCTGTTGTATTACTAAGTGTACATACAGCCCTAGACACTTCCGCCATAGCTTGTCCTTCTAAAACAGTAGGTTTTCTACTATTAATTCCCACTTTAAAGCCTGTCGGGCACCATTCTACAAATTTAATAGAGCTTTTAGCTTTAATATTAGCAGTGGCTTTATTGGCCTCCTGAGAATTTACATCTCCCCTAAAAAGTAGACAGCATGCCATATATTTACCTTTTTTTGTATCACATTTTACCATCTGATTCTGTGGTTCAAAACATGCATTTGTAATTTCTTGTACACTTAACTTTTCATGAGATGCCTTTACTTTACTAAGCATAGGTGAATAAGCTACTAAAGGAAAGTGTATTCTAGGATAAGGAACTAGATTGGTTTGAAATTCTGTTAAATCAACATTTAAAGATCCTTTAAATCTTAAAGATGCAGTAATAGAAGATACTACTTGTGCCACCACTCTATTAATATCAGAATAATGAGGTCTTTCTATTCCTAAGTTTTTACACATATCATAAATAGCTTCATTATCAACTAAAAAAGAACAATCACTATGTTCTAATGTAGTATGTGTAGTTAATACACTATTATAAGGCTCTACTACCGCAGTACTAATAGCAGGAGCGGGATAAATAGAAAATTCTAGTTTACTTTTTTTACCAAATTCTGCATCTAGCCTGTCCATCAGTAAAGAACCAAATCCCGAACCAGTACCCCCACCAAAACTGTGAAAGATTAGAAATCCCTGTAGTCCTTCACAATTATCAACCATCCTTCGAATTTGTTCCATGACAGGATCAACTATCTCTTTACCAACAGTGTAATGACCCCTTGCATAATTATTTGCAGCATCTTCTTTTCCATGAATTAACTGTGCAGGATGAAATAAATTGCGATAATTAGAAGATTTAATTGAATCAATAACACCTGGTTCAAGATCTACCATTAAGGTTCTTGGAACATAAGTACCTGCAGATGTCTGTGAAAAAAAAGATTGTGATCCTTCATCCTCCATAGCCATTGAATCAAGACTACCATCAGGTAAAATACCATGTTCTTTGCAATACAATTCCCAGCATGCATTTCCAATTTGTACACCTGCTTGTCCAATGTGAATTGAAATAATTTCTCTCATATTTTTAGGGTAAAAAAAATATTTTATTGAATAGAAAAAACATTAGAGGAATATTTAAAGATTATGAGAAAGTAATAAACATAAAATAAGAATAGTTATTTTATGAACAAAACATGGGTTTAATAATATATTACTTATATTAGAATAGAAGAAACAATAATCAGACATGCTGTAATACTACTGTTTGGATTTAAAGCTATAAGAATATACTAAAATTTATAATTTAATCTTAAAAGACATAAAAATAAAATAATAAAGATTTTGATGGCAAATTAAAAAGTAATATAACTAGAAAATATATAAATTTGATACTAAAAAATGTAAAAATACAAGGTTACAGAAAAGATTTAAAACTAGAAAGAAACAAACAAATTCATATTTAAATTAAAAAACGTGCAACACTGGTTTAATTAATAAGAAGATTTTTTTATTTAGAAAAATGTTTAATATGTCAATATCATACTATACATAAATGATGTATTTGACATTTTCACTATTCAAATTATTTCCATGTTTTGCCTTCATAAAATAATATTAGCATTTTAAAATTTATGCTATTTAAATTTTTTTATTTACTGCGTCGTATCTCTTATTTAAAATCTTAAAAGTTGTTTCTAGCACACCACAAAAATCTACATTCCTGTCTATTTCTTTGTACGTTTTTACTTCATTTTTTAAATTTGCAATATTATCTCTCAATTGCGCCTCTACATAACTCATATCTACCTTTCCCGGCAGTTCTTTTAAAATATTAAAATTATTGCTTATCGAATTAAGATTTTTCTGTAAGGAAGAAGTTTGTAAATTAATGATTTGTGTATACAGTTCAGTAGAAGAAGGAATAGACATTTTTTCGGGTGTAATGTACACTTGATGAGAAAGACGATGTATATTTATTAACTTCTGTTTTACATTTTGAGGCAGGTCTACAAAACGAGTATCTTTTTTAATCATTGGGGTCAAATGTTTGAAATTTTAAAACAGTTTTATAAATAAATTTCTAAAACAAATAACAAATGGAGCTGTACATCTCGCCTCTGCCTCACTTATTTTCAGTATTTATATTCCTTGCATATTTGATGTATTTTACTAAAAAAGTTTCTAAAGAACTAAGATCTACTTCTTTTATATGTCAGGAGAAACACTTGAGAAGAAAAAAGATAATATTAACTTTTATGCTATTTTTAACATTAATCTCTACACTCGCATACAACACCTTTGCGGCATTTATTGGCTGCAGAAAATCTATACTGATGTATAGATCTGCAAGTACAAATGAAATATATGAAATTTTAAAATATCTAGAAATATTTAGTGAAACAATCTTAAAATCTTCGCTTTTCTTCTCGCTAATAATTTTACTACCTTTAGTGAATTCAAGAACTCCGAACGAAAAAATCAAATTTCTATATTTTTATTCTTTTGTAAGAATACCTTTATATCTATTAATTTTAAAGCTTTTGAAGGATTATCAATATTTTAAAATGTTTGTACTGGAAATACTACAAATATCAGATGCTTATCTTCTTGTAACTTTATTTATGGAAATATGTATTAAAAAAAAAGTAGTCGAAGACTTTAATTTAATTGAGACATACGAGCATGAATACATATATTTAAAAGTTATAAAAAAATGTAAGATTATAATAGTGGAAATATTACTAGAAATACTTTCAAGGTCATTTTTAATTTATATTATGGTATCACAAGTAAGTAATACTATCTTATACATGACATTACTTTATATTATAAAAGTTATGTATATGCAATTTATGATAAAAAGTATGATTTCTGTGATATTTTGTAAAGAACAAGAAATGTTTAACAATTTAATAAATTTTACAGAAGTGAAGGAAGAATTAAATAAAAGAAAATTATAAAAATGCTCTGACTGGGGATCGAACCCAGGGCCTTCGCGTTATTAGCACGACGCTCTAAACCGCTGAGCTACCAGAGCGTACCTATCATTTTGTAAAAATTTTAAGTAAAGTATATTAGATATTTTAATTAAATAAATTAATATAATTGTCACATAATTTTATTGACTAATAAATTATAAATTAATACTTTTATTTCAAATATAAACTGTATTCTCTAGAAGCTAAATGTCTGATAATCCCAATGATTCAATCTCGTCTATAAAATCTGATACAGTCAGTTTTTTTTTATGAACTGACTCGTTTAAAAATATTTTCCATTTCTTTGTACCCTTTTGTCCATGTAAAATGTTTTGTAAAGGATTTAAAATTCTAAATGTTATAGGTTTAGATAATTCAAACTTATTTAAATATTTTTTTACTACTGAAAAAATAGTATCTTGTGATGACTCATGTAAATAATTTTCAAAGGATCTAAACACTAAAATATTTTTAATAGCTTCTCTACCAATCATTATTCCATCTAAAGTTAAATTATTATTACAAAATAATTTATTAAAATCTGCTATTTTTTTTAATCCACCGTTGAGTATAAATAAAACATGCGGAAATTCTTCTTTAATTTTGTAGACAAAGCTATAATTAAGAGGTGGAATATTTCTATTCTGCTTGGGGGATAACCCTAGCAACCAACATTTTCTAGCGTGTACGTAAAACTTTTTTACTGGTGTATTTTTCACTAAAAAATGGACAAAATCACGAAAAAATTCGTATGTATCATAGTTATCTACTCCTGTACGTATTTTTAACGAAAGTACTATATCACACTTTTTATACACAGAATTAATAATTTCTGATATTAATTCTTTATTTTTCATAAGTACTGCGCCAAAACATCCTTTCTGCACTCTTGTGCTTGGGCATCCTACATTCAGATTAAAATGTTTACACCCCACGTCTTTTAAAACACAAATCGCATTTACAATTTCGTTTACGTCCGAACCGCCGATTTGTACAACTGTTCGTTCATCGATATCACCAAGTCTTTCAATAAGCTTTTCTTTGTCGATATGAATTACAGTATTTGCAACTATTAACTCTGTAAATAATATTGTATGCTCCGACGTTAATCTTACGAATCGCCTGAAGTTGGCAGTTGTGACATCAAGCATTGGAGCAAGGCAAATTTCTTTAGTTTTAAAATTTTCTGAGTTGATGCCAGTGCTTAAATCCATGGGTAAAATTTAAATAATTTTGTTAGAAAATTTACCAACAAGTATAAACTGCATATTTTAAGTGTAAAAATAAAAAAATGTTGATTGCACAGCAAAATTTTCCGTTTTCAATATACTTTACAAATGTGTAAAGAAATAATTGTTATTTTTTTAAAAAATTAAAAAAATATAATAATAAAGATATATAAGTAATATAACAAAAAATTTTGTATCTGTAAACTAAGCTAATTAAATAGGTTGCACCATTTTAACAGATTCAAAAGATGCTTATAAGTAAATTTTTGATCTCTGAAATGGAAGGCTTGAAAAAATTATAAAAGATTTTAATTGCAGTGTTAATAAAATGTATTTACATAATTTTTTAGTGTAATTGCAGACAAAGAAACAAAAAAAGCCGCAAGGAAATAATTTTTACGAAATAGGAAAAAAAATATACTTAAAAATATAACTATGGATTTTGTGAGTATAATGTCTTTAAGACGTTTATTTTACATTACGCTCAATAAGCGTTTATAAAAATTTTTTGAAAAAACGTCGGAACCCAAAACAAATATATAAAATTTTTTTCTATTCAAAAGTGGTAAAAAAATTAAAGCTCAAATATTTCACTAATTTTATAAATTACAATGCTACTATTCAATAATATATTTTTTTAATATTTTTGATACGTTTACATCTGTTTTAATTCTTATATTTTTACAAAATATAAAATAATTTAAAATTTTTTTAAGATCTATTTATACTTTAAACCCATTCTTATGGTGGGACACCTCAAATTGCGTGATATTAACTTTATAACAGATCCTTGTCCAAATACTATATCTCCTTGTTTCACTTATATCTTTGATAAAAGCTTTAAAGTACTAAAAACAAGCGTATACATACTTTTAAGTTACCATGATTTTTTTACAAGATTTATAGAATATACGAATTTTTTTAAAAATTTATAATTCTTTTCTATCTGAATGTATGGTAGAAATAATGTTTAATACAACAGATTATGGTATAAAAATACGTCTTCGCGGTATATCTACTAGAATTAGCTATGTTTGTACACTTTATATTGATTTTATATTTAATAACCAAGACGAAAGCAGGTATCATTTAGTATATTTACAAATTGAAAAAAA